GGAATCATTTAGTAACCAAATAAGTTACATATATTTTATATTTGAGATTCTTCAAATAGCCGCCCTTTGCCTTGATGACAGCATTGCACACTCTTGGCATTCTCTCAACCAGCTTCATGAGGTAGTCACCTGGAACGCATTTCAATTAACAGGTGTGTCTTTTTAAAAGTTAATTTGTGTAATTTCTTTCCTTCTTAATGCTTTTGAGCCAATCAGTTGTGTTGTGACAAGGTAGGGGTTGTGTACCGAAGATAGCCCTATTTGGAAAACACCAAGTCCATATTATGGCAAGAACAGCTCAAATAAGCAAAGAGAAACGACAGTCCATCATTACTTTAAGACATGAAGGTCAGTCAATACGGAACATTTCAAAAATGTTGAAAGTTTCTTCAAGTGCAGTTGCAAAAACCATCAAGCGCTATGATGGAACTGGCTCTCATGAGGACCACCACAGGAATGGAAGACCCAGAGTTACCTCTGCTGCAGAGGATAAGATCATTAGAGTTACCAGCCTCAGAAATTGCAGCCGAAATAAATGCTTCACAGAGTTCAAGTCACAGACACATCTCAACATTAACTGTTCAGAGGGGACTGTGTGAATCAGGCTTTCATGGTCGAATTGTTGCAAAGAAACCACTACTAAAGGACACCAATAAGAAGAAGAGACCTGCCAAATTGGAGATTTTTGCTCTCAAACGCTGTGTCTTTGTGAGACGCGGTGTGGGTGAACGGATGATCTCCGCATGTGTAGTTTCCACCGTAAAGCATGGAGGAGGAGGTGTTATGGTGTGGGGGTGCTTTGCTGGTGACACTGTCTGTGATTTATTTAGAATTCAAGGCACACTTAACCAGCATGGCTACCACAGCATTCTGCAGCGATATGCCATCCCATCTGGTTTGGGCTTAGTGGGACTATCATTTGTTTTTCAACAGGACAATGACCCAACACACCTCCAGGCTGTGTAAGGGCTATTTGACCAAGAAGGAGAGTGATGGAGTGCTGCATCAGATGACCTGGCCTCCACAATCCCCCGACCTCAACCTTGAGATGGTTTGGGATGAGTCGGACGGCAGAGTGAAGGAAAAGCAGCCAACAAGTGCTAAGCATATGTGGGAACTCCTTCAAGACTGTTGGAAAAGCATTCCAGGTGAAGTTGGTTGAGAGAATGCCAAGAGTGTGCAAAGATGTCATCAAGGCAAATGGTGGCTATTTGAAGAGTCTCAAATATAAAATATATTTTGATTTTTTAACACTTCTTTGGTTACTACATGATTTCATATGTGTTATTTCTTAATTTTGATGTCTTCACTAATATTCCACAATGTAGAAAATAGTAAAAAATATAGAAAGTGAGTAAGTGTGTCTACACTTTTGACTGCAAGTTTTGAGTGCAAGTGAAAAGAACAGAGCTGTTACGTTAAAATCAGCATGGTCTGTACATGTAACTGCTGGCACAATTTATCCCTTTAATAGTTGATTTAACTATAGGACAGACACTTACAAACAAACGGTACCAAAGGCATATCAGCAATGTCTTAGTTGCATGTCTTAGGCCCTGTGCTCTTATTATTCTTAGTGTCAGAAGAGGTTAATACATTCATTTTAGAGCAACACTGTTGGGAGGTTCATTGTTCTATTACTCTAACGTGACTTAGTGAGCTGGAGTGCAATTGGCTTGTGCCAACATTTACAGAAGCCAGTAATGACAGCTTGCCATCCAAGAAAAATTTAGCATTAGATAGAAATACCCCATTGATAAAAATACATTAAACATGTATTGTTTAGAATTTCTGTCCTCTTTCTTCTGTGACTATGTTCAAGCCTTATAATATGGACAGTGATTAGAGAGATTTGGAAGATAACATTCAAGTGCATAAAGATAGTCAACGCATACTCCTTCACTTTGTCTTCAATGACAAGTGGATGGAAAGTATGCAACATTGTTGATGATGAGTACTGCATATTACACAAATAATAGGATCATATGTACAATGCAAGAGATTGCTGCTTGACACGTTGTGTAAACCATTATCCAAAAGTTATCAAAGGTAGCAGTTATTAGAACTGGGGGGAGAAAACACACAAAAGAGTGGTTAATTAAAGAATAATGAATTAAAGAATAAGAGATTTTATCTCATTAGGCTCAGTCAGCAGTTTGGTCAGTTGTTATTGTGTGTGATTTCAGAGTTTGGGGAACATTTGAAAACTCATCATGATAACATTGATAAGTAAAGTGTTTTAGTGTACCATGGTAAACTGCTGAGCTGAGTAAAGTTAGTGCCTGTGGGCCAGGGTGGCCACGGCCTCCTCTGAAATCTGATTGGCGCAAGCGTGCACACATAGGCACTTTGGATGGCATTTTCAAGTGAATTTACTGCTGTATGCTAATACTCTTATATAAAATCCTGACCTTGAATGCAAACACTGTAACAATACTTTTTGAATTGATTTATGATTTACGAAACCTAAGCTGAAGCATTTAATGTGTTGAACAATCATAATTATTATCCACCTAGTTTCTAAATGTTATGGCCCCCCTAAACTGTGTCGCTGCCCCACCTTGGCTGCCCCATTCAAAATGTTCTGGACACGCCACTGCACAGAAGCATGGGTAGTATGGTGGGATGGTGTGAAGAAGCAGTCCCCAATGAATGAAAAAAGACAGCTAGGAAACATAATTCACAGCTAGGAAACATAATTCACAGCATGCATGTTTTTTACTATGGTAAACTTTAATTGGATTTGTTTACAGCTCAAGTTCCTGCCAGCGCCAAAAAAGTATTTTCGACAAGGATCAAAGAACAACATTGTTGTCAGTGTAGAAAATAATAATAATGAGAAAACAAGAACAAATCAGGGGATTCTGGAAACTCGTATGTACCAGCCGTACTTTGCCAGTGAGCCACTTTTCAACCGCAGCCTTTCAGCCAGAGCCTCTGCTAACCTATAGTCAAACACATAGTGAGCGTAGAGGAGATAGGCATAGGGGACAGAACAGAACATAGTCCAGGCTGAATACTTACGTTCCGGGGTGAAGTTTCCCCTAGTTACAGATCTAGGATCAGCTTCCCCTCCCCCAATCCTAACCTTAACCATTGGTGTGGAAAAGCAAAACTGACCCAAGATCAGCGACTGAAGATCAGCAATTTCACCCTATACCAATACTAACACAGAGGGCGAGAGAGGGATTTAACTCCTTTCAGTATCTGAAGCTGGTCTCTGATCATAGCTTTCACCTGACTTCATCTTTCTTCCATGAACTGAGGATATGGGTTAGCAATAGCATGTTAGCTCTTCTGTGTGTCCTAGTGGTCTGATTTATAATTGCACATCATCTAGGTTGGATTAGCCTATGTGGGGTCGCCAGAAAAGCGCTAACATCCGTTTTTAAGGGATACAGTATTTTCAACCTAACTTCCGTTTCCCCTGAAAAATGGTTGTTGGAACGTCGCTCAGGCGTTTTTTTACACCTGCTACGTTAGGTTAAGATTGAATTATCACGAGAGAAAAAAAGCTAACTTTTGACTATATACCCTATTGCCCTTTTCGCACTACTACTGAGCCGAGCCATGCCAAGCGGAGCTGTACTGGGCTGGCCTGGTTACATACACACCATAGTTGCTGAAACGTTGCAGGATAGGACAATGTGGAAGGAAAACGTCCGAACCAGCACATTATGGTTCGGGTCGGCACTTTAGTATTGAAAGGGTCAAATGGAGCCCCAAGACGATGGCTAAACACAGGAATCAGAATCAAGTGGCAGCTTTTGGAAAAATAACAGGCTAAGGTGACAAATCGGATACTTACCTGTTACTTTGTTTTGTTTTTATCTCTTACATGACATTCAAAACAACACAACTTTATAGACATAACACATTCTCTTCTCCTAAAATGTTGGTTGTGCGTCCTGATGCAATGTTAGTACCACTACACCAGGAGTTCAACAAAACATGCTCTGTAAGTGAGGGGATCAAAATATTTTCTACTTCTATGGAATGCAGCTCAATGGTATATGCTTGTTCAGTCCTCAAAGCCCACAGAAGGAATGAGTGTGAGAAAGAGAGAATCTATGTGGCAATTAAGATGCTATTTTAATGAGGCCACAGGAGCCAAATGAAGCCCTTGGAAAGAACTGAGGGAGAACCACTTCTCCAATCTAACAGTCTGTCTGTCAAATAATGATCAAATGTTCTGCCTTTCATGTCAGGGATTTTGATTGATGTCTCTATGTAGGTTTTTTTTCTTTTAATACTAAAAGTCTTGGGCTGCGGCTCAAATTACACCCTATTCCCTTTATAGTGCACTACTTTTTTACCAGCACCCCATATGGCTCTGGTCAAAAGTAATGCACTATATAGGGAACGCACACAAAGACTTGGTTGCTAGATTAGACACCAATGTTTGTGAACATGGCCATGACAACCTCTCTGTGACCAACAGGTATTGATCGTTCAGTCCAACTGTTATTAGGAAAACAAGGTCAATAACGATGGATTGAACTTCCTGGGCCGTGACAAACACAAGCTTGTGTACAAGCTCAGCTCTACTAGTCTATTAAAAGTACATGAATGAAAACAGGTAGCCGAATGTGTTTTCTCTACGCCACATTTTGTTGGGAATTATGGACAACATGATTTTAATTTGCTGGCCAGTAATTGGTGGTCCTGCCAATAGGCTTTCTCTATTTGATGGGCGTGTCTGCAGAAGCCTTGAGTTGTGATGCAGTGCACCCTGCCCTTGATTTGCATAATTTGCAGCAAAGTAAGAAAAAAAAGATTAAAACGTTGTTGGCTTAGGGTTACTTACGGAGTTTCCACGCTTTTTCTGCAATGTGTTATCGAGAGAGGGGGGTCTGAAAAAGAGGTGGGGGGGATTCATTCAATGTTAAATTCGATGTCAATTCAATGAGAAGTCAAGAGAGCACTATATTGCTATATCAGCTGTCAAATGTATGTGTGTCTGTCTGTGAATTCTTGTGTGTCTCTATATGTGTCTCACCTCTCCTCCTCTTGAGCTTGCGTCGGCGCTGCTTGTTGACGAAGCAGGCTGCCAGTGTGCTAAAGAGGACAGCAGCCGCCAGGAAACAGATGGTGGCCACGATGCCAGCCACCACCGGCCGCGCCAGCCCCCCCTCATCTACCATTTCCGGGGGCGGGAAGAAGTCTGGGGGAGAGGAGGGGGGGCGAGTGAAAGAGAGAGAAAGAAAGAGAGAGGGGCAAGAGGGGAGAAAGAGTGTTTTGGGGGTGTGTAGGATAGGGAGAGGGGGGAGAGGGAGAGAGAGGGAGAGAGACGCAGGAAGAGAGAGGGAGAGGGAGAGTGGGAGAGCGAGACATGACGTGACTTGTCTGCCAGGAGGCTATAGGCTTGGACAGGTCTTTGACCCAAAACAATACTGTGACCGATATCCACCCACAATAATAAGTATTTATGGTATATTAGCTTTAAATTGGTATAGTAAACTAAGCATATTGGTATTTTAGAAAGCAAATCTTTCCAGTCTAGCCATTAAACATGCAATCTTGTGAGCAAAAAAAGTGTATTACATTGTGTAAATGACTTGAGTAACTCTACATAGCCTTTGTACTAGGCTTGGACTTTAAGGAGAATGTAACTGATTACGTATGGGAGGGCCTGACATCTGCAGGCCTCTTCCAGTCAAATCAAATCAAATCAAAATGTATTTGTCACATGCGCCGAATACAAGAGGTGTAGACCTTACAGTGAAATGCTTACTTACAAGCCTTAACCAACAATGCAGTTTTAAGAAAGTACTACATGTACATATTACCTCAATTACCTCGACTAACCGGTGCCCCCCCATAATAGCGAGGCTATATACAGGGGGTCCCGGTACCGAGTCAATGTGCGGGGGCACCGGTTAGTCGAGGTAATTGAGGTAATATGTACATGTAGGTAGAGTTATTAAAGTGACTATGCGTAGATAATAAACAGAGAGTAGCAGCAGCGTAAAGGGGGGGGGGGGCAATGCAAATAGTCCGGGTAGCCATGATTAGCTGTTCAGGAGTCTTATGGCTTGGGGGTAGAAGCTGTTCAGAAGCCTCTTGGACCTAGACTTGACGCTCCGGCACCGCTTGCCATGCGGTAGCAGAGAGAACAGTCTATGACTAGGGTGGCTGGAGTCTTTGACAATTTTTAGGGCCTTCCTCTGACACCGTCACCACACCAACTGTGTGTGTGTTCATGTCCGTGTGTGTGTGTGTGTGTGTGTGTGTGTCTAGCTGGCCCCTGCCAATCACCACACCAACTGGCTGTCTAATTCACCTGATTCAGCGACTCATCATTTATGGTCCTAAAGCGATAGACACTTAATGGAAATGGATTAGGAAACTCCTTTCCTCATCTACTATCCTTCCATGACCACAGACTGTCAAGACAACTGGATAGTGGATATGTTCCCACCCTCCACATTTTATCTTGGGGAGAATTTGAAATAACGTCATTCAGCATGACTGTGTTCAAATACTGTATAAAAAGAAATGTAGTACAAGTAATTCATCATGAGGGGGCAGCAAAGTACTTCCAAGTTTAGGAAGTAAGCGCTTGTGAATTTTTTGCAGCTCTGGCGATGCCTTCACAGTTGCTCACAGTTACAATTTCTGTGACAATATGTTCCCTGTGACCTCCACACCAGAGCAGCATCACAGGGTAGGGAGTATCTCAACCTCACAGCACCGAAGATGGAAATCTTATGTGGAATGTACATAGGAGGAATATGAAAGGGGGTTTGGTGATGTCATACTTTTCAGGCTGTTCCAGGAAGTATTCGTGCCTGGTCCCAGATGTGTTAGTGCTGTCTTGCTAACTCCTATGGTCATTGTCACATTTGACAGATAAGAATTGGCAATCCCTCTGGATCTCTTACTGTATATATTGTGCATGATCATTTTCATACAGTTACAGTGGGGGAAAAAAGTATTTAGTCAGCCACCAATTGTGCAAGTTCTCCCACTTAAAAAGATGAGAGAGGCCTGTAATTTTCATCATAGGTACACGTCAACTATGACAGACAAAATGAGGAAAAAAAATCCAGAAAATCACATTGTAGGATTTTTAATGAATTTATTTGCAAATTATGGTGGAAAATAAGTATTTGGTCACCTACAAACAAGCAAGATTTCTGGCTCTCACAGACCTGTAACTTCTTCTTTAAGAGGCTCCTCTGTCCTCCACTCGTTACCTGTATTATTGGCACCTGTTTGAACTTGTTATCAGTATAAAAGACACCTGTCCACAACCTCAAACAGTCACACTCCAAACTCCACTATGGCCAAGACCAAAGAGCTGTCAAAGGACACCAGAAACAAAATTGTAGACCTGCACCAGGCTGGGAGGACTGAATCTGCAATAGGTAAGCAGCTTGGTTTGAAGAAATCAACTGTGGGAGCAATTATTAGGAAATGGAAGACATACAAGACCACTGATAATCTCCCTCGATCTGGGGCTCCACGCAAGATCTCACCCCGTGGGGTCAAAATGATCACAAGAACGGTGAGCAAAAATCCCCGAACCACACGGGGGGACCTAGTGAATGACCTGCAGAGAGCTGGGACCAAAGTAACAAAGCCTACCATCAGTAACACACTACGCCGCCAGGGACTAAAATCCTGCAGTGCCAGACGTGTCCCCCTGCTTAAGCCAGTACATGTCCAGGCCTGTCTGAAGTTTGCTAGAGTGCATTTGGATGATCCAGAAGTGGATTGGGAGAATGTCATATGGTCAGATGAAACCAAAATAGAACTTTTTGGTAAAAACTCAACTCGTCGTGTTTGGAGGACAAAGAATGCTGAGTTGCATCCAAAGAACACCATACCTACTGTGAAGCATGGGGGTGGAAACATCATGCTTTGGGGCTGTTTTTCTGCAAAGGGACCAGGACGACTGATCCGTGTAAAAGAAAGAATGAATGGGGCCATGTATCGTGAGATTTTGAGTGAAAATCTCCTTCCATCAGCAAGGGCATTGAAGATGAAACGTGGCTGGGTCTTTCAGCATGACAATGATCCCAAACACACCACCTGGGCAACGAAGGAGTGGCTTCGTAAGAAGCATTTCAAGGTCCTGGAGTGGCCTAGCCAGTCTCCAGATCTCAACCCCATAAAAAATCTTTGGAGGGAGTTGAAAGTCTGTGTTGCCCAGCGACAGCCCCAAAACATCACTGCTCTAGAGGAGATCTGCATGGAGGAATGGGCCAAAATACCAGCAACAGTGTGTGAAAACCTTGTGAAGACTTACAGAAAACGTTTGACCTGTGTCATTGCCAACAAAGGGTATATAACAAAGTATTGAGAAACTTGTGTTATTGACCAAATACTTATTTTCCACCATAATTTGCAAATAAATTCATAAAAAATCCTACAATGTGATTTTCTGGATTTATTTTCTCATTTTGTCTGTCATAGTTGACGTGTACCTATGATGAAAATTACAGGCCTCTCTCATCTTTTTAAGTGGGAGAACTTGCACAATTGGTGGCTGACTAAATACTTTTTTTCCCCACTTTATGTGGGATTTAAATGGGTCATTAAATTACCACTCCACCAAATTCCATTACAGTTTTTTATTTACAGGATGAATCGCTTCAATTATTTCCCCATTTGCATTGTTTTGTCATGTCTTCAGTTAATGTCTGTAATATCTACATTTTAGTCTGCCACCTGCCCCATGCCTCTGTCTCGCAAATCCTAGATATGTTTTGTGTGATGAAGGGGTGTCCATAGACGTGTATGTGTATGCAGAGGTTTGTCGTTCACTCACCTGTACTGGACACTCCTACTGTGTTACTGGGCTCGCTGACCAGTTCCTCCATGACCGCCATGACCCGGAACTCATACCATGCCTCCTAAGTCACACACACCAGGGAGATGAGAGTAAGACAGGGGCAGAGGAAACACTGTATTTGTGTTAGTGCAACATCTGTCACACTCTTCTTACAGTCAATAAAAACTATTGTTTACAAAAAAGAAACCAGTTTGTTCATTTTAGGAGGAAAACCACAAGGAAATCGACCTGTCAAAGAGGGCATGAAAATGTGTCGCATCACTAACAGTATGTTAGTGAAGAAGAGAAAGGCAGGGCAACATATACAGTCCCTAGTGGTCCAATTACCTCAATAGCTTGAGTAAAAAGCGAGCTGCAGAAATGTGCTCCAGTATAGGTGTAATGAGTGATAGAGAAGTGTGTGTGGGTGTTGGGAGTCATGCTAGAATAAAGTACATGCATAGAATGTGACTTCGTCGCAAATTGCACCCTATTCCATTTATAGTGCTGATAGGGTATTTAGTATACAACTTGCACCGTGTTCAAAAGTAGTGCACTATAAAATAAATAGGGTGCCATTTAGGATGCATCCTGTGAGTGATGGCTAGAATGAGACAAAAAAACACACTAAACATTTCACGCCAGGAGCGCAATCCGACATACAACCAAATAATATAGATTTTTTTCAACGTTGGTGGAAAAATACATTTCTATACTTTAACACATCACTCTCCCCAAATGGTGTACTTATGTGAGACTAAGGATGCGTCCCAAATGGCACCCTAATCCCTATACAGTGTACTACTTTTAACAAGAGCCCTATGGGCCCTGGTCAAAAGTAGTACACTACATACAGTGAGGGAAAAAAGTATTTGATCCCCTGCTGATTTTGTACGTTTGCCCACTGACAAAGAAATGATCAGTCTATAATTTTAATGGTAGGTTTATTTGAACAGTGAGAGACAGAATAACAACAACAAAATCCAGAAAAATGCATGTCAAAAATGTTATAAATTGATTTGCATTTTAATGAGGGAAATAAGTATTTGACCCCCTCTCAATCAGAAATATTTCTGGCTCCCAGGTGTCTTTTATACAGGTAACGAGCTGAGATTAGGAGCACACTCTTAAAGGGAGTGCTCCTAATCTCAGCTTGTTACCTGTATCCAAAGACACCTGTCCACAGAAGCAATCAATCAATCAGATTCCAAACTCTCCACCATGGCCAAGACCAAAGAGCTCTCCAAGGATGTCAGGGACAAGATTGTAGACCTACACAAGGCTGGAATGGGCTACAAGATCATCGCCAAGCAGCTTGGTCAGAAGGTGACAACAGTTGGTGCGATTATTCGCAAATGGAAGAAACACAAAAGAACTGTCAATCTCCCTCGGCCTGGGGCTCCATGCAAGATCTCACCTCGTGGAGTTGCAATGATCATGAGAACGGTGAGGAATCAGCCCAGAACTACACGGGAGGATCTTGTCAATGATCTCAAGGCAGCTGGGACCATAGTCACCAAGAAAACAATTGGTAACACACTCCGCCGTGAACACACTCCGGTGTTTTTCTGCTAAGGGGACAGAACAACTTCACCGCATCAAAGGGACGATGGACGGGGCCATGTACCGTCAAATCTTGGGTGAGAACCTCCTACCCTCAGCCAGGGCATTGAAAATGGGTCGTGGATGGGTATTCCAGCATGACACTGACCCAAAACACACAGCCAAGGCAACAAAGGAGTGTCTCAAGAAGAAGCACATTAAGGTCCTGGAGTGGCCTAGCCAGTCTCCAGACCTTAATCCCATAGAAAATCTGTGGAGGGAGCTGAATGTTCGAGTTGCCAAACGTCAGCCTCGAAACCTTAATGACTTGGAGAAAATCTGCAAAGAGGAGTGGGACAAAATCCCTCCTGAGATGTGTGCAAACCTGGTGGCCAACTACAAGAAACGTCTGACCTCTGTGGGTCAGGGTTTTGCCACCAAGTACTAAGTCATGTTTTGCAGAGGGGTCAAATACTTATTTCCCTCATTCAAATACAACTCAATTTATAACATTTTTGACATGCGTTTCTCTGGATTTTTTAGTTGTTATTCTGTCTCTCACTGTTGAAATAAACCTACCATTAAAATTATAGACTGATCATGTCTTTATCAGTGGGCAAACGTACAAAATCAGCAGGGGATCAAATACTTTTTTCCCTCACTGTATAAGGAATATGGTACCACTTGAGAAGCATCCTAAAACGTTTCATGACTTCTTTGAAATATCAGACAGGCTTGGGTCTGACAAGGAAAATGAAATAATCATTTTCATATACACTGAGTGTACAAAACATTAGGAACACCTTCCTAATATTGAGTTGCACCCCCTTTTGCCCTCAGAACAGGCTCAATTTGTCGGGGCATGGACTCTACAAGGTGTCGAAAGCGTTCCACAGGGATGCTGGAACATGTTGATCCAATGCTCCCCACAGTTGTGTCAAGTTGGCTAGATGTCTGTTGAGTGGTGGCCATTCATGATACACACGGGAAACTGTTGAGCGTGAAAAACCCAGCAGCGTTGCAGTTCTTGACACACTCAAACCGGTGCGCCTGGCATCTACTACCATGCCCCTTCAAAAGGCACTTAAATATTTTGTCTTGCCCATTCACCCTCCGAATGGCACACATACACAATCCTCAATTGTCTCAAGGCATCTACACTGATTGAAGTGGATTTAATTGGTGACATCAATAAGGGATCATAACTTTCACCTGGATTCACCTGGTCAGTCTATGTCATCGAAAGTGCAGGTGTTCCTAATGCTTTGTACACTCAGTGTAAGTGTTATATAGTTGTTTTCTTTGAAGAACATATTTTTTTCTACACAACTGACTCCCATCCCCAATCATCATACACTATATAAACAAAAGGATGTGGACACCCCTTCAAATTAGTGGATTCGGCTATTTCAGACACATCCGTTGCTGACAGGTGTATAAAATCGAGCACACAGCCATGCAATCTCCATAGACAAACATTGGCAGTAGAATGGCCTTACTGGAGCTCAGTGACTTTCAACATGGCACCTTCATAGGATGCCACCTTTCCACAAGTCAGTTCGTCAAATTTCTTCCCTGCTAGAGCTACCCCGGTCAACTGTAGGTGCTGTTATTGTGAAGTGGGAATGTATTGGATCAGCCCCAAAGTGGTAGGCCACACAAGCTCACAGAACGGGGCCACCGAGTACAGAAGCGCGTAGCACGTAAAAATTGACTGTCCTCGGTTGCAACACTCACTACCGAGTTCCAAACTACCTCTGGATGCAATGTCAGCACATGAAATGGGTTTCCATGGCCGAGCAGCCGCACATAAGCCTAAGATCACCATGTGCAATGCCAAGCGTCGGCTGGATTGGTGTAAAGCTCGCCGTCATTTGACTCTGGAGCATTGGAATCACGCTTCACCATCTGGCAGTCCGACGGACAAATCTGGGTTTGGTGGATGCCAGGAGAACGCTACCTGCCCCAATGCATAGTTTCAACTGTAAAGTTTGGTGGAGGAGGAATAATGGTCTGGGGCTGTTTTTCCTGGTTCGGGCTAGGCCCCTTAGTTCCAGTGAAGGGAAATCTTAACGCTACAACATACAATTACATTCTAGATTATTCAGTGGTTCCAACTTTGTGGCAACAGTTTGGGGAAGGCCCTTTCCTGTTTCAGCATGACAATGCCCCCGTGCACAAAGCGAGGTCCATACAGAAATGGTTTGTCGAGAATGATGTGGAAGGACTTGACTGGCTTGCACAGAGCCCTAACCTCAACCCCATCGAACACCTTTGGGCTGATGATCCACAATTCTTTGACAATATATATAATAAATTATCAAGCCTGCAAGCAACTCAAGACAATATTATTATGGTGGGGGATTATAATACTGTTTTAAATAGCTCAATGGACCGAAAAGGAAATCACACCACAAACAATCACCCACATGCTCTTAAGGAAATTGTGAATGTCATGGATACATTAGAACTAGTAGATATATGGAGGCTTAAATATACTGATCTAGTGAGATATACATGGCGGAGACTGAATCAAGCTAGTCGTCTTGACTTCTTTCTTATCTCATTCTTGTTGGCACCAAAAGTAAAAAAAAGTGTTGATAGGGGACAGAATGCGGTCGGACCATCATATAATAGGCATATACATTACTCTTACTGAATTTCCACGTGGGCGAGGATATTGGAAATTTAATCAAAGCCTATTGGATGATAATTTATTTATAATTAGAACAAAGGAATTTATAACTGACTTTTTCCAACATAACATAGGTACAGCGAATCCCCTTATTGTATGGGACACCTTTAAATGTGCCTTTAGAGGCCATGCAATTCAGTACTCATCTCGAAAACAAAAGCAATTTAGGTCAAAATAGTTTATACTAAGAAAGGAAATAGAAAGTCTAACAGAACAGATAGATGGCAATAAAAACTGTAACAGAGAGGCTCAGAATAAATTAGAGGAAAAACAAAAAGAAATGGAAAAACTTATTCAAGAAAGATCAAGTGTAATATATTATAAAAATAAAGCAAACTGGATGGAATATGGGGAAAAATGCACAAAATTCTTTTTTAATCTTCAACATAGGAATGCTACCAAAAAGAACTTAATGAAACTCGTTACAATTGACGGAGTCACCCATAATTCACCAAATGATATTTTGAAGGAAGAAACAAAGTACTTTAAGCATATGTTTTCTTTTCAGTCGCCTCCATCTCCTCTAACTGAAGCTAATTGTAGAGATTTTTTTTCTATTGATAATGTCAAATTAACAGCCACACAGAAAGACTCATGTGAAGGTGAAATTACAGAGGAGGAACTTCTGGATGCAATTAAAGACTTTAAGTCCGGGAAAACTCCAGGGTTGGATGGCATACCAATCGAGGTATACCAAACCTTTTTTGATATACTAAGAGGACCGTTATTAGCATGTTTTAACCACTCCTATGTAAATGGTAGATTATCTGACACTCAAGAAGAAGGTCTGATCTCATTATTACTGAAACAGGATACAAGTGGAAAATATAAAGATCCAGTCCATT